GACGCTTAACCAACTGAACCACCCAGGTGCCCCTATCTTTCTTACTATTTAAAAAAAAAATTTTTTTAATCAATTTTGAGAGACAGAGCACAAGCAGGGGTGGAGCAGAGAGAGGGAGACACAGAACCTGAAGCAGGCTCCAGGCTCTGAGCTGTCGGTTCGAACTCAAACGGGTGAGATCATGACCTGAGTTGAAGTTGGACGTCCAACGGACTGAGCCACCCCGGCGTCCCCATCTTGCTTACTATTAAAGTCACAAAATACCTCCAAGAGTTCCCCTCACGTGAATTTGCTGGCATCACTTCTTCAGGGACATCATCAGTTCTTCACTTTCTCACCTATGTATTACAAGCTGACCTTCCCTAAGTTCCTCCAGCCCCATACGGAGTCTCCAAAGGCAGCGGGGTCACTCCTCCATCAGCTGTTTCTTCTCTAACCACGCTCCCTCCCCGGTCTATATTCAGATTTCTCTGCTGCATTATTAGGGTTCATTGCTGGGCTGCATTTTCATCTTCATTGGCCAATTCCCTGTTTCAGGTCTCCGTCTTTGTACAATGTCCCCTGGGTTCATCAGTGGGAGACAGGAGGCAACACGACTGAATACTTTGCTGTCTGTCTTGAAAGAGGTGACATGATTGGTCACCGATCACACAGCGTACCTGCTGTTCACATAGTGATTTCCGGTCTGAAGAGCCAGCAGTCCAACTACACCTTACGTGGAAGCTTGAGACAATTGCTCAGAGTGAATAATACACCAGTGGAATGGAGATTGGAACCATTTTGCTGTGGGACCGGCGTCATTTAAAATAATTGAAATTATCCATAATTGAAATTCATATCTGTCAGAACGGTGCAAAACGAGGGCCTCCCATAGGCCTTTCGTTACAATCCTTCTTACTGACTGAATTGGATTCGGCTTCCTGCTGGGACCGTAAGTGATACAGTGTGCAACAAACTCTCCAGGGGAGTGAAAGAGAAAGCTTCACAGAATGCAGCCAGGGTCAGCCAAGGTATGACCTGTGGCTTTTGACCACAGACGGGCACTGATTCTACCACCCAGGTAAGGGCAGGCAGGAAGCACCTGGGGGTTACACCTTTCTTGGTCTGGGCTCTTCAGGAAGACGGCTGCCCTGGGAGACCACTGACCCCAAACTGAGGCTGAGATGGCTGTGCTTAGGAACTAGGAATTTGTTGAAATTCCTAGGGCTTGACCCAGATGCCCAACTAAAAACAAGTCGGAAGACCCACAGCAGCGAGTTTTGGGGAACAAGATGAACAAATCATTTCTTCTTCAAAATCACTTAATTTGGCCTCCTAGTTTCTAGTTCCCTCCCACGGTCAGGCTTTGGGTCTGCAGTGGCTCCATACTACAACTCCAAACGGCTAGTTACCTACCATTTACCCCTTCTTCCTTAAAGACATTTGATTTTATTTGGAGAGTGAAGGTACCTACCTAAAGGGTTGTACTTTTCCTCTTTTCTTGCAGATAGGCATTTGACAAAGTTCTGGCCTATGAAACATAAGGAAAAGAGAAGACTCCTTAAAGGGAGCTGACTGGAACTCTCTTGCCCATTCTCCATTGTCTTTTACTCGATGCCTGGAATGTGGGTAATAATGGCTGGCACTCCAGCCGCCATCATGGACCATGAGGTGACCCCAAAGACAGAAAGTAGACACTATAATGGTTGAATGGGGAAAATAAAGGGAACCTTGAATACCCTGTGACCTTAGAGATGCCATATCAGCATTGGACTATCTGCCTCCAGATTTCTGTCTTAAGGCCCTGTTATTTGGGATTTTTCATTATATGCAACGAAGTCTAATTCCAACTGGATAACCATGTCTACTTTCTAGTGAAATTAACTTATACTAACTCCTTCAAGTTGAGCCTCTGCATCCTGTCAAAATCAATATAAAACAGTAACCAGACTTCTTTTGCCCAATCCTGATTAGCGTGCATTAGGCTTAGAATGGTAGGAAATTCAGACCGAGGCAGACCAAAGAGGAAGATGTTCTGGGGCTGTTGGGCTTTTTCCAAAATCCTAACCTAATAGGTAGCTGGCTTCCCAAAGTGAGCAGTTCTCAACCGCTATTGTTTGGAATTGCCTGGAAAGCTTCAAATACTCCAGTGCTTAGGGCCCACTCCCCGGAGATTTGGATTTAATTGGTCCGGCGTACAGCCTGGGCAGGTGGTTCTAATGTCTGGCCAGGGTTGAGAGCCACCGACCCGACCTATATTTCAAATTGTCCGTTTGTTCGGCATCCCCAAAGCTTCTTACACACCAGGCAACACAGCATGAGGAAGAGAATAAAGGCTGATTGCACAAGAGGCCTCAATATCAGTTCCAGGAGAATATTAGGACACTTCTTTCCAGGAGAAGGTGAAGTCCTAAACCCCAAATTCCTATCCTTGCTTACATACACCTTGGAAGATTCTCCAAAGTTTGTACCTCTGAGCCGGGGCCAGGACTAGTGAGGTGAGTAAAGCACCGTGTGAAGCAGTCACCCGGGGTACAAAATTTAAGGAGCACCCAAAACAAAACAAAACAAAACACAAAAACAACCTTAGTAATCATGATAACTCATATTTCAACATGATATTCAAAATGAGTGCCAAACAGTCCATAACACAACAGTCCAAAAACACAGAGTGCCAAAAATTAAAATAAAAACAAGAAAGGGGCACCTGAGTGGCTCAGTCAGTTACACATCAGACTTCAGCTCAGGTCACGATCTCACCATGTGTGAGTTCGAGCCCCACGTGGTGCAGAGCCCGCTTCAGATCCTCTGTCCCCCTCTCTCTCTGCCCCTCCTCTGCTCGCTCGCTCTCAAAAACAAAGTAAACTTAAAAAAAACAAGATCCTGGGACAGGTGTACCCCAGTTTGCCATCCACTGGTCTCCGTGTTCCAAATGTAAGAGCATCTGTGGCCCTATTAGCAATGCATAACGATTCTCTTGGCCATACTGCCACCTGCTGCTGGAGGCGGGAAGTGCTGGCTGCCTGCCCAAGAGGCACCCGGGTGACACCTCTCCACTAGGACCCGTGCTCACACGCAGAGGCATGGTGCCCTCTTGCGGGCAGCCACCCGCGTCAGGAACTCTGAAAAAAACCCTGGTCACCTGCATCCTGCAGCTGAGTGGGGTAAAAAGAGCCCAAAACTCAGGGTTGCAAGGCCTAGATTTGTCTCAGCTTTGCATTTGAACAAATGGCATCAGCCTTCTGAGCCTGTTTCTACAACTGGATTGTATTACCTCTTCCCATAATTACTGAATTACACAAGAGGCTTTCTGTGTCAGTGCCCAGCAGATTGCCTGACATGAAGTACGCACACCGATCACTATAAGCTACCTCCCCCAGCCCACCCTCCTGCCATGCAGCAAATCAAACTGTTATCAATTCATTCCTGAAGGCAAGATACACTAAAAAACCGCCAGGGAGAAAAAGGTGGTGTGGACGTCCAGGCTATGGAATGATACCAGGACTGATGGGACAAGGAAGACTTCCCCTGGGGAGGTGTCCCCTAGGGAGGTCACACCAGGAGCTGGCCAGTAGCCTTTGGGGGGGGAGGGGGGGTCACTGCACCACTTTTCTATTGTTTTATTTCCAGAAGGTTCCAGTACATGGAGCAAACAAACATCACAGCGGTGGTGGAAAGGCCAAGGCCTTTGGAATCAGCCCTGGGTTAAATCCTGGCTCTGCCGGTTACTCGCTGGGTGACCCCAAGGGAAGTCACTTAACTTCCCTGAGCTTCAGCTTCCTTTTCTACAAAATGGGGATAATAGCACATCCTGTCCTGGGGGGATAAGATTAAATAAAGCAACATACTTAAAATTCCTGTACTCCGGTGGGCTCAGCAAGTGGTGGGTGTCATTGCTAGCCTGGAGCTTCCTTGGAAGGAGTGGGAAGGAGGAGATACACCAGTCAGGCAGTATTGGCAATTGTCAAATCGGCCCCCAGGGTGTGCTGGGGGAGGACAGGAATGCAGATTATCTTGCGGTGACCCTCCTCTCTCATCCCCCACCCCAACCCCTCAGCCCTCAGCAGGACTCAGATGTCAGGGCATCCCAGAAATGGATCCACAGCGGGAGGGATTGCAGGGGGTGGGGGTCTCCCCTTTTCTGGAGCTGGGGAGGGGATGCTGGATTCCAGCACGTGGAAGTGGAGTTTCCAAAAGGAAGCCTGGACATCGGAATCAGGGCAGTAAGCTGGACAGCAACATTGCGCCAGCGTCAATTTCCCGACTTTGATAACGGTGCTGTGCTTATGCAAGAAAATGCCCTTGTTCTCAGGAAGTAAATACCCGGAAGCATTTAGGGGTCAAGGGGAATCATGTCTGCACTTTACTGCCAAATGGTCCAGAAAAAATAAAAGGATAAAGCAAATATGGGGAAATGTTAAATTTTGGAAGATGTGGAGGAAGGGGACCTGGGAATTCTTGCAACTTTTCAGTAAGTAGGAAATCGAACGAGAAAATGTTACGCAAGAGAAAAGAAGCAGTCGGGGGGGGGGATCTAAGTCTCCCCTCATTTTCCATCCTCCTGCAGAGAAACCCTTGGTGGTGTGAACCGTGTGTGTCCAGCTCACCTTCCCTCTCCTCTCCTCTCCCCCTCTGCCCCTCCCCCCTCCCCTCCTCCTTTCTCCTCCCTTCTTTATACTTTCCCCTCCCCCTCCTCCACTTCGTCCCCTTCTCTCCCATCCTCCCTCCCGCCTCCGCCTCTCCCCTCTCACTCCCTTCTCCTCCCCTCCTTCTACTTTCCCTTCCCCCTCCTCCCCCTCCTCTACTCCCCTCCCATCCTCCCTTCTTCCCCTCGTCCCTCCTCCTTCCTTCCCACCCTCCTCCTCCCCTCCCCCCACCTCTCCGGAGCTCCCAGCCCGGTGGGCCCAACACAGACACAGCCACTCCGGGTCCAGAGGCACCGACTTTATTTGCACCACCGACCGGGGATCGGGCACAGAAGCGCCCAGTCCCCGCGCACCCCCTCCCCCGCCCACCGTTGGCTACACGATGGCGAACTGGCAGATGTAGGGCAGCTTGTCCCGGCAGCGCTTGTCGAACCACTTGCCGTTGGCCGCGCCGGACAGGGCGGCGCAGTTCTCGACCTTACCGCCGTCGGGCTGCGCCGTGATCTCCGTCTCCCAGTTCTTGTAGGCGATGTGGCCGCCGGTCATGTCCACCCAGGTGCCCTCGGCAGCCATGTCGTTGAGGCCCAGCCAGATCTCGGCCTCGGCGCCCACGCTCTGGCGCAGGTACTCGTAGAGGGCGTCGTTCTCCGAGCCGGTCTGCGGGGTGCCCAGCGTGCCCCCGCGTGAGATGCAGTCCTCGCTCGCCTCATGGAAGGTCTTCGCCTGGGTGAAGGCCAGGAAGCACTTCATGTGCACCTTGGTGCCCTTCAGGCAGACTGCAGGGGGCAGAGATGGCCATCACCCAAGGTCTGCAGGTTCCCGAGCCCAAGGCCGACCTCCAGGGCCAGGCCCACTCTCCTGCGGTTCCCGCCCGGCCACCCGCATGGCCCTGGAGAGCCCCCAGGCCAGAAGGGGTGCCGTGATGGACACCGATGCAGAGCCCTCGTCCCCATGCCAGAGGTGGTAAGGCTAGCCCTTCAGCTGCAGACAGCCCCTAGCTCAAGGTCAGGGCCCTTCCTGGGTGCCACCTCCAAGGCCTGGGGCACGCGGGAGTGTAAAGGCGGGGACATCTCTGCCCGAAGCGGGAGAATTCTGGAAGGCCCTGTCAGCTTGGGAGGCCGTGAACCTCCTAGGAATCAGCAGACATGGGGTGGGGGCAGTGTTTGGACTGCCATATGTCAGAGACTTTGTGCCAGGAGGTCCCCACCACATCCTCACCTCAGGGGGCCAAGTGGCACACAGGTTACACGGACTTTGTCCAAGCACAAAGCTTAGACATGAGAGAGAGAGACTTAGGGCCTGTTGTGCAATCTGCCCACGCACCTCCCACTGTACTGAGGAGGAAACGGACACCCAGAATGGCACTGTGCTCACTGGGAATGTTCCCTCAGTGTTCCCGGATACTGCCACCAACAACGGCTGATCCAACCAACATCAGTTCCCAGCTCCTCTCTCTCTTGTCTGCCTCGACTACGGAGGCTGGAAAAGCTTCCTTCTTGTAATGAAGCTACTGGTGGTCCTGCGATAGAGCTCTAATCAGCAAGATGGGAATAGAAGACCTCCATTCTCCTGGTAAATGGCTGGTCCATTCTTTCTCCATCTTGCCTCAAAATGCACTCACGATGGCTGGAATTGGAGCAGCCATCTTGGGGCCGTGAGGCAAAGCTTCTGAACAAAAACTCAACAGCTACCCTCTTTCAGACTCCCTTTTTGTTTAATCTACTATGAGGTGTTCTATTACTGCAAGCCAAAACATGGTAGACCCTTCCCTTTCTAGAACTCCCTGACCCCAGCTGCTATGTTAAGCTGGTTGAAGAAAATCATTTCTCTTCAGAAATTTAGTGAGTGCTGAGGGCGGGGGTGGCTCAGTCGGTTGGACATCTGACCTTGGCTCAGGTCAGGATCTCACAGTTTGTGGGTTCGAGCCCCGCGTTGGGCTCTGTGCTGACACCTCAGAGCCTGGAGCCTGCTTCAGATTCTGTGTCTCCCTCTCTCCCTGTCCTTCCCCACCCCCTCTCAAAAATAAAGAAACATTCAAAAAAAATTTTTTTTTAGACATTTGCTGAGTGCTGATATGTGGCAGGCACTATGTTGGGCAAGTTGGTGGAAGAGATAAGGTCGTCAAGTGCAAACATGGTCCCTGTGTCCCTGGGGCTTATCATCTAGCAAAGGAGGCAGACGTAAATCAACCAATGAATATATCATTACAAACTGCAGTAAATGTGATGCAGGAAAGAACATCATTTTGTGAGGATGATAACCGAGGAGGCTGATTGAGACAAGGGACGACAGAGTCCTGAGACAGTGATGCCAGAAGCACGTATTAGGTGGATCTTGGGAGAGCAATTCAAGCTGCTGGAACAGCATGGACAAAGGCCCTGTGGTAGAAGGAACAGAGCGTGACACTTCAGCGGGCCAGAAGGATGGCCGGTGTGGAGGCTGAAAGGAAAGATCTTGGTGGGAGGAAGCGTGCGCAAACCCGCCCAGTGAGAAGGATCTGGAGGTCTCCGAGGACGCACGAGGGGAGGGGAGATCCAAGGCTCAGGAGCTGGATGCACCTCGGTCACCCTAAGTGAGAGAGTGGCTGTGAGCACAGGGAGGTTGGCAGATTTCCTAAGAAGGGACCAAGCTGATTCCCAGATGAGAACCTGAGAGGCAGCGGAGCAGAGCTAAGAGCGAGACTCTGCTCCTTCTGACAGTTGGCAAGACATTCAGCTTCTTGGTGGAAGATGGAGGCGGGGTCCTAGTCATAAGCCCCGCTACGTGGCTTTTCTGTGGAGAAGGAGTTCACGTACAAAAAGCACTTGGAACAGTGCCAGGCGCACAGCAAACTCACGTTGTAAGCGTAATCTATTACCATTAGCCTGGTTCTCTGGGGGCAAGGTCGCAAAGGAGTAGGCGAGTCTGAGCCGCTATGAAAGGAACGTGGTTGAGAGAGAGAGACTAGGTGGCCCAGGTAGAGCTGGGGCAGGTGGCGGAGCCCTGACCTCGCCCCCAGGCTCTGGGGCTGTGTGACGGGGTCCATCCTTGCTTGTGAGTGTGGGCAAGGAACAGGACCTGTCTCTGCCTTGGTTTCCCCATATTCTTTTTTTTTTTTTTATTATTTGGAGAAAGAGAGAGAGAAAGAGAGAGCGCAGGACGAGCAGAGGGAGAGGATCCCAAGCAGCCTCCACACCGTCAGCACGAGGCGGGGCTTGAACCCACGAACCGGGAGGTCATGATCTGACTCAGAATCAAGAGTCAGCTGCTCAACCAACGGAGCCACCCTGCCGCCCCTAGGTTGCCTTAAAATGGCTGTGATAAACCCTGCCTCAGCATCATTACGATGATCAAGAGTGACAGCTTCAGCAAATTTGCTGACACGCAGGGGAGGCAAGCCAACTGCCCCTTAGGGCTGTGGGGCTGGCTGAGGGGACGGTCCTCTGGGAGCTCTTTAGGAAGGCTGCTGGCTGGCTCCACAGTGCTCCTGGGGCCTCGATTCCGGTGGGTGGCAATGCACTTCCTGGGGGAGAGTTTTTGTCCTTTGAGAACACTCCCGTTTGCACACACGTCCAGGGACCTGCCCAAGAGGAAGCGGGCCGAGGAGGGCGTTCCCTGAGCCCCTCGGTTCTTGGCCTACAGCCGGGGCCCCGGTACTGGCCGCAGGCACACTGCTGGCTGCCGCCTGAGCCCTCCTCTGGCCCACACCTGCCCGGAGAGGCTGTCGTCCGCACTCACCTGTCTGCAGGGCCTGTTGTTCCTTCAGCAGGGCCACCTCCTGGGCCAGGTTGTCCAGCTGGCTCTTAAGCTCCTCAAACATCTTTGGGCTCACGACATCTAGGATGGAGACAATCACAGACGCGTGAGGAAGGCAGTTAAGGATGCGGGCCGGCAAGGACGGCGTGGGATAAACGCTACCTGTATCCACCACAAGGGGACAAAGGAAAGGACACCCCTAGACCTTGATATCTTGGACTACTACTTTCTCTCTGTCCCCGTTGGTGGTAGCCTAAGTCACTGTGATTTTCCATCTGCTGGGGGGAGGGGACCCATCCTTCACTTGCTCCTCCTTAAGTGAGACCTGGACATTTGTTTAGGAATATTGCTGGGGTTCAGATGGGGTCGGGGTTGGCAGGGGCTGGGGGTGCACGCCCAGCGCTGCTCCCAGCTCCAGAGGAGAACAAAGCATAGGAAGCAGAGCCAGATGCCCTTGAGCCCTGCCAAGTTCACCCCCCTAGGCTGGAGCAACAGGACGCGGCCCAGCAGGCCACACGCTCCAGCCTGGGGGCTGAGTGTGACAGCACAGGTGCGTGGGCTCTGAGGTCACAAGGCTGTGAGCGGCCTGGGGTGAGTTGCTCAGTCTCTCCGAAGTCAGTTTCCTTATCTGTGAAATGGGATGCTAACGGCCGCCCCCACCTCGGAAGACTCCGAAGAAGACTAGATAGAGCCTAAGAGAAACAAAGGGTGTGAACAGTGCTTGCCTCTTAAATCAACCCTACTGACCCGGGGTAATGCATCTCTCTTCTATCGCACTGCATCACAAACAGCAAACCGAAGCCAGGAGGAAGCAACTCGCCTAAGATCTCAGAGCCAGCAGCAGGCAGGGCTGGCCCGAACCCAGGTCCACCGGGCTCCAAGCTGGGCCTTCCCCGCCCTGTGACAGCACACGAGCAGGTTCCTGACCTGAGCCATCCTGACCACAAAGGCCGGTTGGGAGCTGGTTATGCGTGGGCCGACAGGGGCAGGTGGGAAGTATCTTCCCGTGTGTGTGTGTGTGTGTGTGTGTGTGTGTGTGTGTGTAGGATGAAGGCTCTGTGGGTGGACCCTGGTCTTACTGAAATCCCAGGGGCTTCAGGAAAGGCTGCAGGGCTTGGGGTAGAGGGTGGGGAAGCGCTTCTGTGGTCCATTTAGCTGTGCCTGCATAAAGTCCAAGGTCACGAGCGATGAGGTCAGAGCCTTTGTCCACCCATAAGAGGCTTTTGCAGGGGAATCGCAGGAAACAAATGTGAGCAAGAAACATACTTGCATGTGCAGAATTTAGTGATGTAACTTATTAAATATGAGGAAAATAACGCCCAGATGAGCAAGGCAATAAAAGGGAGGGTTTGAGGCCGGCAGACTAGCCTGGTGGGGTCATGTGTGCTTCCTGCTGGGCCTCGGCCGGTTCACTCGTTCCTGGGATCCTCAATCCTGGCGGCTCCTTGGAATCACTGGAGATTTGGGGAAGACACAGATGCCTCCCGCCTCCTCCCCTCCCCCCCTGCATCCAGCATTTCCAGGGGTTGGGGCCCAGGCTCTGGACTGTAATGTATTCCCCCGCCCCCAGATGGCGCTGGTGCCCGAGTGAGAACCACCAAGGTTTTTGCTCTGATTTGCACCTTAAGAGCAGGCTGGCGATCCTTTGTCAGGATGCTCAGCACGTGTCTTGGCCCCCGTGGAGAAGCATTCCGGAAGCATTTGCTGTGTATGTGGGCAATCGGTGGAAGGAAGAAAAACCAGGGTGAGTCAGAACACTGAAGCGGGGCTCAGGGAGAGGCCGGGGCTGTGGTCACTGTCAGCTGTTCTGCAGGCCTCCAGGGTCCAGGGCCTTGAGGGGCCGCCACGGAGACCACCTGGGGCCAGGGTTCGAGTGCGACAGCTGGAGAGGGCCAAGGCATCATCTGGTCTGACCTCCTTTCTCAAATGACAGAACACATGGTTCACGTGATTAAATAAATACTAAATCTTTGGTAGTTGAGAAATCAGCAACTCTTTCCACATGTAAAAATTCTATAATTTGCCTTTGGAACTGTGTGTCCTTTACAAAGATCTCTACGTGGCAGTTTTAGCCAAGGCTCATGGACACAACCATGCAGGGTATTGACTCTTCTCTTTTTACTGACAATTTTGTAGAAGGTAACATCTGCATATAACTTTTTAAAAACCCAAACCGTTCAAAATATCAGTCGCCTTTCCAACTGAGACTGCTGTCAGCTACCCAGTTTTTCTTCCCAGAGGTAATCACTGTCACTAACTCTTGTGGAGCCTTCCAGAAAAATTCTACCCATATAAAAGTAAATGTGTACGTGTATATAAATCTGCTTTTCAAAATAAATGCCAGCAGGGTATCCATTCTGTTTTGAACTTTTAAAAAATGTCTATTTATTTTGCGAGACAAAGAGAGAGTGCAGGGGAGGGGCAGAGAGAGAGGGAAAGGGAAAATTCCAAGCAGGCTCTGCACTGTCAGCACAGAGACTGATGCGGGGCTCGAACCCACAAACCGTGAAATCATGACCTGAGCTGAAGTCAAGAGTCAGATGCTTAGGGCGCCTGGATGACTCAGTTGGTTAAGTCTCCAAATTCAGCTCAGGTCATGGTCTCTGGTTCATGAGTTCAAACCCCGAGTTGGGCTTTGTGCTGATAGCTCGGAGCCTGGAGCCTGCTTCGGATTCTGTGTCTCCCTCTCTCTCTGCCCCTCCCCCCCCCCCTCTCTCTCTCTCTCTCTCTCTCTCTCTCTCAAATATAAATAAACGTAAAAAAAAGAGTCAAATGCTTCACCAACTGAGCCACAGCCCTGTGGGTCTCCACTGTCCCGAGGCACCTTTCCACACTCCACCAGTCCCTGGCCAATGGGCAGCTGTCATTTACAGAGGAGGCTCAGAGAGGGGACGGAATGTGGCCCACGCCCCCTTGCCTTGCCTTTTCCATGCTCTTGGCTCCAGCCTGTCTGTTTCTCTGCCTAAATCCACAATCTCATCCCCTGGAACTCTCTCTCTCGGAGCCTCTGAGCCCTATGGGGGTGACAGCCCGGTTCATTGCCATGGCATTTCACTAATGTTGTCTCAACACAGCCTGGGGTGACCTCACCACAGGCAGGGCTCCAAGGGCAGGCCGTGCAGCAGCCAAGGCGACCCAAAGATACCCCAAACCCAGAGGCAACAGAAGGAACACGAACCCGTTTCTGGTGTCCTCGTTGGGGGTTGCACATTTTTATTTCCTCAAGGCTGTGAGATGCACTATCACACACAGAATTAACTTGGTCCTTTTATTCCCCCCCTGCACCTAAAGTATATCCCACGCACCAGGCACTGGGCTCGGCACTTGCATGTTTGGGATCATGAAATCCTAACCAGAAGCCTTTCAGTAAATGCCACGCTCCCCATCTTAGAGCTGAGCGACCGCAGTTTCGGAGATCACAAAGTAGAGCCCACTGGCACTGCCAGACCAAAGGTTTGATTTCTTCAACGTATTTGGGGCGGGGGTGGGGAGTGGGTGTCAGTTTAGGTGATCTGGAAGGTTCTTTCCCAATCTGAGAGTCAACGATGCTTACGATGCTGACAACCGCCCCCGGTATTGGAGAAGTCTCCCGGGGCTCCAAGCGTACCTCACTAAGGTTCCCAGGACTTATGAAGAATGAAAATGAAGGTGGGGAGGAAAGCAGGAAGAGCAGAAAAGGACAGGGTGACCGGCTCCCTGGAAGATGGGGGAGGCGCCCTGTCCCCCTCCTTACCTTTCCTGACGTTTGCAGCCTTCTTGACCTTGGGGGTTGGCGGCTCGGTGGTGACCTGGGTCAGGAGGGAGAAGAGGCAGAGGAGCAGGTAGGCCCCCCACAGCTCCATGCTGCTGCACTGGCCTGGGTCGGAGAGCAGTGGCAGCCGCGGCCCAGCCTGCACGTCTTAAGGCAGCGGCCACAGGGACTTCTGTCCAGGAAACCCTCCCAGACTTGGCTGCGGGCGTGCCAAGAAAAAAAAAAAAG